AGCAGTAATTAGAACCTACTTCGCCTTATTATTATTCTAAAATAGCATTCGTACAAGGCTCAAGTCCAGTGGGGAAAGCATTCCGCTTTGAGTTAAAAGACAGAATCATGAAATTCATCTGATGAGAATCTCTAGTCTTATTCCCCCACCCCCTCCACCACAAAATTAAGCGGTGAAGTCGGCTATTCCCCCTGCTCAACCCTTGACCTTTACACACATCACTGGGCAGACTGTGTTTACGATCTCATCAGCCTAAGAAATATCTATTTAAGAAAGGCCGACAATGTTTGGGGTGTGCATTGTTACGTCAGATATTGCAACACGTCCAACGGCATGGATGACCAACCACACGAGTTAATTCTAATCAATAATAGGAGTGACAGAATGCAAATTTCTTGCAAAATCGAATTCAAGTTACCTTTCCCCTACTCAAACAACTACTCAGACAGAGCTACGTAGAATTACGAGTTTATGTCTCTCAAATGCAAAGGAGAGGGAAAATAGCAGGCCTCATATCACAACCAATAAAGACTCACAGAAGTGACTCTACATGATGAATCAAAACTCATCTCTTCCAGAGTGCCGGGTGGGAATGAACAAAAGGAAGGATCGCGAAGAAATCCAGCAGAAAGATCACAACGAGGAAGAGAGGTGAGTAATGCCTCTTCCTCCTCTGTGTTCACAACTAGACTCAAACCCAAGCGACTCATTCGATGAAGGAACTCAGGAGCCGTCACGTAAAAAATCTGCCTGTGCTCTGGCTCCATGTACATCGAATACGCATTCATCGATTGGAGCATTCTATATGAGAACAATTAAACTATATTTGATTACAAAGAAAAATAAGTGTCACTCATGAGAAAAAATACACCTACAGACAAAGGGCTTCATATTGGTAACGAATACTGGTGCATTCCAATTTGGGATGTTTCGGAGAAAAAGATTGGATTGAATTGAATGTTGCCTGAGAAACTCGAAAGCAATAAACAAACTCGGATGCATCCAAGAGA